TCTACGCACAACATATTAGCATAGATTCATTCTGCCTTGTATTGTGTACATTTCACTGTTGTGGTGGTCAGAATGTGGGGAATATTTTCTTACAAGACTTCTGCCCCTTAGTAGTATTTGAGAATTGTTTAAATGTCACAACCTACGTGAGCATTGTTGTTAGCCACATCCTTGCCTTTATGACAACGGTATACCCCTCTTCTTACAGTGGGATGGAAGACTGGCGTCATGAATATCCAGACAACAAATCTAGAGCAACTGCTCGGCATGAATCAAAATTTCTGAGGAAGGTTTCCAGCGACAGGCTTCTTGTTGACCCACCTACCTGATACAGTTTTCTGTGAGTGCATATGGGTGGTAGAATTAGTTTTTTTAACACTGGGGAAAAAAATCACTTTACAGTACTGGTTTTAAACATTGTTTCTCACCCCTTTATTTCATGACAAAACAATGACTCTTGGATAGACTGAAGTTTATTTAACTCCCTTTATTGTCTAATCATCTGACACATGGTACAACATACAAACAAGACTGCAACCTCCACCGATCGTACATTCAATACATGTATCAAAAAAAATTAAGATGACTAGCTAAATAGTAAACAAAATTTGGACAAGAACGAGCCTTTTTAATTTCATGTACTAGTTTTAGGAAATTTGCTGATGGGAAAGTTATGAAATCATACTATAACTTTTAAGAGTTCAGCAATTTTAAAATCCAAAATTCATGTACCATCTGTTTGATTATACTTTGATTGTATAGTCCTACTAGCGTAATTTAACCCCAGTTAATGTCAATAGAAATATTAAACCTGACAAAAACAACCTGCAAATCATCAGAGAAGCATCATTCTCAGTCAATGTTTTACAAAATATACCATTTCTTAGTAAAAAATAAAACACTTGGATGCACACCTATGTCCAAAACAATACAATCAAGGTGAGATGAACTTACAACAGATACTGATACTTCTTTTTAAGAATAAAGACGCTCTTAAAAAAAACTGAATACAGTGGTCCCTCGCTATAACGTGGTTCGCTGATTTTTTTATTTTTTAACAGTACATTGACAATGGTCTACAGCCAGGACGCAGAACACAATCAATCTTGTGCCGTGTTATATAAATTATATGTACTATGCCTGTACAGAATGCGTTCAGCTTGTCAAATTTACACAAATTGTCGATCGCTTGCAGTGTGACTCTGAAGTGCTGTACAGTATGTTTGTAAGTTTTCTCCCCAACAAACACAACAATGTTGACCAAACGTTTGGTACCGTCAAAGTTAATCACGGGTGCCCTAGGTTTCATTATATAATACTGGACTCATTTTTCTACGAAGGTTTGAACTTTGAGAGAGTTTAAACGAGAGAAAAGTGTATAAATGTTCATGGCTGTCTGAGAAAAGTGTATAAAGTGTGCTGTGAGGGGTTTTACAGACTTAAAACATCAATAATAATTGTAAAAAATAAAGTTGGCTACTTCACGCATTTCACCTATCGCAGGTTATTTTTAGAACATATCTCCCGCGATAAACGAGGGACCACTGTACTTCAAAGTCAGATGGTAGTTAAAATATAATTTTTGATGACATATGCTGGATGACATGAATAAAAATATGAACTACACACTGATGTTAGAGGATGGGTTGCTGTAAATTATTGTATTGTATTATTGTAACAACAGTTTGTTCATAACTGTCAATAATACTGTGCTAATAATAAACATCAACA